TGGCTATTCTTAATTTTAAATTTAAACTGTCTAGACAGGTCTAAAATTGAATATATATTTAATGTGTAAGATTACTATTGAGAGGCTTGTTTTAAAATTATACACTATCCCTGTCATTTCTCTTTTTATGTTCACAGTCTTCTACAGTTTGCAGCTAAGTATGTGTGTGCATGTGTGTATGTGAATTTAATAAATGTAGTTCCTGTTTTTCCCTTCTTCTGTTTGCAGATATATTAACCATGAAATATCATGTCTGAAGCTGCAGGGCATTATTTAGTTTGTATATATTATCACAGAAACAAACAAATAAACCCTAATGCACATCTTCATCCAAGACTAAAACATTTGCTGTCTAAATAAAATTAAATATGTAAATCAATTCTTTGTTGAAGAACATTCTCATGGCATCAGGCAAATAAATAAACTAGATGCATATATTGTTTAATATAAAATATGTATATTTAGTAGTAGAGATGAAAATTTGATTAAGACCCCCTTTTTCCCTTTGTAGCCATAACAATTATTTTATATAAACTTTTAAGTCTTTATAGCACTACCTTTTGCAAAGTTATCAAATAATGCCTTAAGTTTCCATTTAGAGAGCATGCACATGGACAATTAACAGTCAGTGGACATTTAAAAACATAGTTGTGCTTACTGGTTTTTTCCCTTCTTGACTATTGCTGTCTATAGTTGGTTTCTTTTCCAGCAAAGCAAACAGATGTGCAGCCCCCGATTTGGCTCTCGAATATTCAGGTGCCAAAGCAAGTGTTTCTCCAATGGCCATAGCTCCGTATGCAATTGCGGTAAAAACTCTACCAAAAGATAAAGCATTTGAATCTTAGGCCCATTTCAAACAATGGAGCTCTAAAGGTAAAGGAAAAAACAGGCACAGGAATATAATCTTTTGATCTAGACAACACCACTAATACCGAAGGCCCAACAATGATATCTCTTTTGTAATTTTCTACCACACAATGATCATCCCTTGTTCTGTACACCACAATAACCTTTGAAGCTTGGGTAATCTTAAAAATTTATCTTCCAAACTAGAGACATAGGTCAAAGGCCCTAACCAGAGAATATAAAACTTCTTAGCCACCTTGATATAAGGGTCACTTGCTTGCTTGGAAATTTGAGAGAGAGTTCAACAGACAGAAGGAAGAATGAGTCTCCTATAGTGAGATCTGAATGGATCTCAGTAGATATGAATGTTTTGGGCTTCCCCCCCCCCCTTTTTTTGCATATACTGTAATATAGTTAGAACAGATAATCATGGCCAGATGATTGATTATCTTATTGACATGCTACATGATTTAAAGAGAGCAAAGCATGGAGACTGTACTTTTTATTAAGGTCCTCAAAACAAAACCTGACGAAAAATACACCTTAGTAAGACTGGAAAGAGCGTTGATCTTTTAGGTTTGCTATAGATTATGATCTCAGTTTCAAAGCGTGTTAATTATAAAATGGTAAGTAGTCAACTGATATTGGAAGCATACAGAATATCCAAAGAAATGTGGCCTATCACTTGGCCATGGTTTAATATTGTTCTCATTTTCTTTTAACATTTTTGACATGAAAACATTGTACTGGAATGAAAAATAGTGTACAACTCAGGAGCAGAGCTAAAGGTATAATTCAGCTAAGACTGGACAAGTTTCACTGGTGACATTTAAACACTAGTCAGTAAAAGGACTTCACAGAACCCATGGCTTGTTTGCTGTGCTGGATCACAGCAAAGTAAACGTGTGTGGGCTGCGTATCATTTCTCTGGAGATGCAGCACCTACCGAGGGGGCATACTGATGCAATGTCTTCAGTGATCTAGACCTCAGATCCTGACTTGTGTCTTTACAAAGATCAAACGTGGTATAAAATATAAAAACAACCAGTTTACTGGGATGCCAGATGCTAAAAGTACTGTAACCACTAGTTCTGTGATTTTTAGTACTAATATTTACAGAAATTGTTTAAAGCTCAAAATGCCATTCAAAGTTCTTGGTACCCAGCTATAGGTCTTCAGAAGTGGTTACTGTGTTTATGTAACACATCAGAGGTTGCTTTATTTATTTATTTATTTATTTATTTATTTATTTATTTATTTATTTATTTATGTATTTATTTAATGCAGGCTAAAAATCAAACGGATTTAGATTTAAGCTTCAATCTAATATAGGAGTCAGTGGGTGAGATAATTGGGTTATGAATCAGACCTGGATTCTAGTCCCAAAGGGATAGAGGCTTCTCAGAACAATTGAAAAAATACCTTCCTCCTCTGATATGAGATATGCCAAAATATCTACCTGTTCTAAAATTTCCACCATTAAAAGTCAGTTAAAACATTAGGCATAAAAGTACAGAGGCTAATGTCTTTGTTAGGTCCCTCTTAAAATGGAAATTGACCTCAGGGGGCGGGGGGAAAGGCCTCCCATTTAGAACTTGTTTCTGGTTTTGAGAGGTAAGTGACCCAATGGACACACAATAGAGCAAAAAGAAAAGTTTCAGAGGAGGGAGAGCACCAGTTAAAAGCCCTGATGCTGTCTATTGTGTCATGTGTTAAGGGGAGGGGAAGTGGGATGGGAGTTGATATGGATAAGGAATATATTAAGGAGCCTAACTTTGTGGTTATGAAACTATCTGGGGATTGGGTCTGGGACATTAACCTCCTCTATATTTTTGCCCTGGATGGGTTCTGTATAAAGATAGGCCATGGCTAGAATGCCACAGAATCTGTCTTAACCTAGTCTGGCCCAGTTAGCGAGAGTGAACTAAATTGTAATTCACTTCCACTCAGAAAGTATTTATTGTACAACAGTGAGTGCTGTAACTCCATGACAGTTAAACCAGATCCTTCCAATCTGGTCCAAACTCCTGGAGGCATTTTAACTGAGAGCCTACTCCAGAGAAATGCTCAGACCAACCTCCCATGCCATTGTTTGTCTTGGGAATTTCACTTACCTGGGATATATAAAAAGGAATAATTTGCTATAATGACAAGTGTTTCAAAGTCATAAATAACACATTTGTTAAAGTATTAATCTATACTAATTATTTATATATCCCCTTCATGCCTGTAAATCAGATTACAAGTAACAATCCACAGTTCAGAAATGATTTTCATGTTGAACTAACTCTTGAAGTGTAAGTATGTAAAATAGGAATTAAAACCCCTAAAATTAAACTTTTATAACTTTAAGCTTAAATTGTGCATGGATGAAGAAATTGTACCTATAGTTTATCCTTGTATGGATTTATACTGAATTTATACTGCTATACTGAATTTATAGCAAAAACCTTGGGTTGGTAGGGGTTGAGGGAGGAGAATATTGAGCACTGATAAAGGTCTGTGACAGGGCCCGGGCTGAGTCAGTTGTGTGCAGGCTGGTGTATGGACCCTGACCCAGGACGAGGTTCGGGCCCACACAAGCGGGTCTGTCCAGATAGGTTCAGGCTGACGCACGGAACCTGGCCCCAGACATAACAAACCTTGACTCCGGAGCCTCCTGTGCAGGCTCCAGGCTCCGGTGACATTAGCTCTTTACGTAAGCGTGATTCACAGCCGCAGGAGGGAGCATGTGCACTTTGGTGTTCTCTCCTCCCCCAAAACCTCTATATAATGGCGGCTATTGCTGAATAAAGCAGCTCGCTGGTTCCTCCTCATGTCGGCTCCGCGTGCTTTCTTTTCCCTGGGCATCTGACCGCCAAAAGCCCCCCAGCAGTCCCCCCCGGTGTTGACAGTCTGGGAAGGGTTTTCAGGTGCTGGGCCTCTTTTTCTCTAGTTTTATGGGTTCTCCATGGATTCATGGGGCCACTGTCACTGCCTTCTCACTACACTGATCTTTTCAAGGACGTCCAAGCCATTGGGAAATCCCTTTGCTCCTCATAGCTGCTGAAATAAAATTGGAATTTTAAAAAGATCCTTTGGCTAGGAACACCACAAAAAAGCATAGAAATGAATAATCCTTCTTTTAACACAATTGCCCAATAGGAATACCAGGGTATTCCGCAGTGACTTGTTCCGATCTAGTTGTCTCCCCTTAACCCTGCTCCCATATCCAGTTGGTATACTTTTTAAGAGGAAGTCCACTGGGGAGGTGGTTCAGAGCCTGGGCTCTGAGGCCAGACCACTGGAACCACATCCAAACTCCACCATTTATTTACTAGCTGTGTGATCTTAGGCATGTTCTCTGTGCTTCTGTTTTCTTATTGGCAAATAAGAGATAAGGAGACTATTTACATCTTATAGGGTTGTTGTGACAATTAAATACATTGATATTATAAAGTGCTTTGTATAGTGCTCAAGAAATATTTAAGTTATTATTACTCCTCATAGAACTGAAAGTTAATGGCATACTTTCTCTTGGAAATAAGCTCTCACTCTTCTATAGGTATAGAATTTAGATTCAAATCACAATTTGAGAAGTCCCCACTCAGTAAGTTTCTTTTTGTTTCGACTGGAAGGCACAGTATCTTTCCTCACAATTATCCCCATCCACATACTCATTTCTCCAAATATCCATATAAGAATCTAAAGATCATTTTCTTCTCATTCTACATCCCTTCCTTAACAGGTGGGAGATGGGATATATACAACTTATATTTATTTGGTACTTTGAATGTTTTCATATACATGATACCATTAAGAAATTAAGCAATTTCTCTAGGATCATGTAGCTGTGAAACTGTAGGACTGCAACTTGAATCTCCTTGATCCCTTTGTTTTTCCTCACAGGCTGCTCTTTCCAGTGGAAAGGTGGCCTGAACTCCCTCTCCCACCCCCCACCCCCTTCTCTCTCTCTCTCTCTCTCTGCATGTTGGAGTTTGTTACTACTTGTTTCCCATATTAAAATATTCAGAGGGCCCTAGATATCAAATCTCCCTTGATTTGTCTCCTTTTGAGCCCTTCAGTCATTGATCCCTCTATTTAGTCTACTTATCTTGTCCCCCTCTCTTCTGGGTAATCTCTGGGGAGGAGGGGTGGGGCAGAAGTCGGGTGACTGCCATTGCAGCGAGCCCTAAAAGAAGACTTTCTTGTTTTCCTTGTTTTGGCTAACTGAGGTTGCTTTCCTAATTATAATGATGACACATGCAGTTCTTCCATGGCTGTCCAGCCTACCAGAGCAAAGATGGTGGTGGAGGTCATGCTTGCTGCTTCTTACTCGTTATTTCAAGCTATCAATCAACTATTAATATTCATTGAAAACCTTCCTATAGGGCTCTTTGGCCAGTAGTCACACTGAATATTCAAAATCCTATATGAGTTTCTGGCATGAGCTGCACTTGGATTTTTGGAGGAGTAGGTCACAACATATAAGCTCCCTGGCACTGCTGCTCAGGCAGCTTCCAAAGCTGTGGCTTTTGTCATTACCGCCCTGAAGGCTGTCATGACTTGATTCTTTCTTAGCCATGCGCTCTACTTAGCTTCCTGATAACATGTGTAGCAAAGAAGAAAGAAACAGAGAGAGGGCAAAGTTCTGGAATGGGGGTATGGCGAGTTACAGAAACCTCTGCTGGACACTAATGGTTTCTAGACGATACTGCAAAAAAGCAATTCAGCTAGAAACTAACCTGAAAGGCACTAAAAAGCAGAGAGAAGAAAATAATTCTGTAGTTCTCAGAGTCTGCACATTTATAGAGAAGTGAATCAAAAGTGTTGCCAGGGCTAACAGAGGCAGAGCAGGGGAATCTTACTATATACAGAGGGTGCCAATAAATGTATACACATTTTAAGAAAGGAAAAAACTGTATTAAAATTGTAATAATATATACCAATAACAAAAGAAGAATATAAGTCATGTGTATACAAATTTTGGCATCCCTGGTATATGTGTATGAGGCCCAAAACAAGAGATTTTCTGAAGCCTATGTATTGGCTGCAAGGCAGCAGAGTGAAAATGTTATTATCTTTTAAAAAATGTTCGTTTCAGAGAAACTTCCACAGTAATAGAGATGGATGGAGACAGCTCCTACCATAAGAAATGTATGTTGCCTTTTATTTTTAGAGGAAAAAGCTAAGACTGAGAATAGTTATGCTGATAAACTAATATTATCACATCAAGGGATTCTGCTGTTAAAACTCCTTTTGTGCATCTCCTTTTCTAAGGCACACTATCATTCCTGAAAGAGAGACAGCTTATCCATCCCTGTAGCTATAAATCATGAAAATACATTCATATTTTATAGGGTGAATAAATAATCTTTATTTTTAACAATAAATTATAATATGACTTCCCCAATTTTTATATAATTCTAGGAGGTTTCTGGTAGTGGCCAAAAGGAAACCCTAAGGTTTTAAGCAACTATGGAGAGCAGCCTGGGGTTCAGTCTCTGTGCTCAGATTTCTCAAAACGTGACCTTTAGATTCTGTGCCTAAGAATAATCTGGGATGTCTGGTAAAATGTAAATTCCTGCCTCTATACAAAATCTACAAATCTCCAGGTTAGATTTGTGGCGTGAGCTCCAGGAATCTGCATTTTTAACCAGCTCCTAATTGGTGAGTTAGGAAACCATTGATTTAGAGAATGACACAAAGTTCTTTTTACTTAAGGTGGGTTTTCTTTGTAAACTTCTTCCATTTAGTTAGTTGATTAGATAGAAAGCTGTCTGTCACCCTAGATTGTAGAAAGCACAGTCTTCTAGGACCGGTATAATTTAGTGTGTCTCAAGGGACACTTGTGACATATTCATGGTGGTTGGGGGCCACTCTGAGTCTCTTAGAAGGCTAGAGACTTTGATGTTGAAGACAAATCGCATCTATTCACATTTTGCATGCCCTGTACCGGTATTTCTCAGAGACTCTCCTTTGTCCATGCCATAAGAATATGGGTATCGTTACTTTGTCTGTAGGCAGGTTGAGTGAAACTCAAATCAAGTGATACCAGTGGCCCTAGCTCAGTTTGCTCCCTGTTTCTTCCTTCCCTCGGGACACTGGGAAATACCAATGGGATACTGTTCATTAATCATTGCTCTTATGTTAATCGCTTATATATGCTCTGACAGCTAAAATGCTTATGTCTCCAGAAAAGACCTTTGTTAATGAGTTAATGAAAATAAATTCAGGAAGTGTGGTAGGCTAGTAGGAGAAGGAGTTTTTGCATTGGGACCTTCTAATTCTCTTGTTTTAGGGTCATGTCATTAACATGAAGCAAGTTATTTGTTCCATTTAGGTTAAGAAGCAGCCCAGCTCTGGATATTCAAATGTTTAGAAAACTAAGCAAGATATATATAAAAAAATTATTTTACAGAAAGATTCTGTGAAAGTTTGTCTTGTCAGAATTAGTAATAATAGTAATCATAATGACAATAATAATAAAAAATGTCTACTAAGCAAAGCCTCTGGCAGATTCAATCATGAACTTGAATCAGTGCTTTGCCACTTGCTGATGAAGTGACTTTAGGTAAGTTAGGTAGCTTCCTGGAGTCTTAATTTTCTCCATCTGTGAAATGGGAATCATAACATTTCACAGGGTGGTTGAGAGGTTTAATCAGATAATGCATGACAAATCCTTAATATTGAGTAAGGATTTAATCAAGTTTTGTTGTTATAGTGATTATCATATGAAGCAGAATGGTTGGCAGTCTTAAAAGGCCCTTTTCAAGAAACATCCTGCCTGATATCACTTGCGGGCAAGATAGTAATCAGCATGATTTTGCAGTTGTATCATTTTTTAACTAAGAAGGTTGCTTGCTTAGTATTAAGCTAAACAAATCTCAGTATGTAAAAGTAGACTCCTAATTACAAACATCCTATTTTTATATAATTGGTTGTCTTTAACTTAGACCTAATCCTTCTACCAAAGCACCTGATATTAGACGTGTGGATGTAGAGGGAAGAAAAAGAGAAGAATTGGTGAAAAACAGGAGTAATGTGGAGAAGTTGACTCTGGAAGCACATTTCCAGGAATGACTAGACTGCCTAATTATGCAGTCCAAATTTCCCCCTTTATTTTTGATTGACTGATTGATTGACTGATTCATTCAGTATTTGTTGTGTGTCTACCATGTACAAGCTTTTGTTTTTGCCTCTAGGGAAACATTAGTGACCAAAATAAATTAAGCTCTGCCCTCCCTGAGTTTACAGTCTATGTCCTCAATACATATAGAAACAGAAAAGATAATTTAATGTAGTGGTAGGTGCTCTATGCAAAGTAAAACATGGTAATGGAATAGAGAGTGATGATGAGAAGGACTCCTCATCAAGGAGACTACTTTGGGCCATCAGCAAAACTCCTTCTGAGCAGTGGACTTAGGAGCGGAGGCCTGGATGGTGAGAAAGGCAGCTCAGCAGCGACGTGGGGACCTTATTCCAGGTAGAGGGAAGAGCAAGTGCACAGACACCGAAATGGGAGTTCTGGGGACAGAAATGGCAAGTGTGGGGCAGTTCACAAAAGAGACAGTAGTGGATGAGGTTGGAAAGGAAGGCAGAGGCCCAAAATTCACAACTGTGCAAACAGAATCCCAAAATAAAAGCTCCAACAAATGCTTTGAGAAGAGGCAGCCTCTTTGGGATGCCATGATCAACTCCAAATATGACTTTTCTGAAGGGAAACACTAACTTATGTGCTTCTTTGGAATATTTGCTTGGCAAAGAACTCAACCTCACTGATTTACAGTTATCCTTGATAAAGCCATCTCCACCTTGCAAGTTCCATGAAGCCTCACAAATTCCAGAAGGGATGGATGACAAGAAGGTATATTTTACCCTTACATTCCCACATTCTAATAAACTGAAATGGAGCAATTCACTTAGGGGTTTAACTCAGATTACCTGTATTATATCAGTATCACTATTTTACCAGCTAGATTGAACTTATATTAATAGATATTAAATAACAAAGAAAATATTCAAAATTTCCCCAGTATACCTTTCCCACATATATAATTTAAATGATAATGCTTATAGACTAGACATCTTTCTGGCTAATTTAATTACCTGACCCATTTACAGAATTTATGTATTTGTACAACTTACATGAACATGCCCTCCGGGGTCATTCGTCCAGCTTGAATTAAATAGACTCCAAACCGAAACCCCACTGCATAGGCAAAATATACAAAGGCGTGGCTGAATGCATAACAGCTTCCAATGATCTGTGCTTTCTTCAAGGTATTTCTGTAATGCACAAAGTTTACTAAATAATGGGGCATGAAGTATAGCAAGAACATTTTAATAAATGTACAGTAATGAACATAGATGACTAGATAAGTTATTTAGGAGATATACATTTTTCTAAGAATTAAAGGGAAAGTGGTTTATTTAACTACTGAGAATTACTATAGAGAAAACAGAAAATATAATTATTTTCTCTACAGCTATACACTCTATACAGTTCAGTGTAACAGTTACCTCTATGTACTTTCAAATAAATGGACAAGGTCTGTGGAAGAACAGCTAATGAAAGAGTTAAAGAGATCTGGTTTAGAAGTATTTAGAAATATTTTCTATCCTAATCTTGCACTGAGAGAATAAATAGCAGGAATGAAAGGTCAGTACAAACCACAAGCATGAGTGTAAAAGAGTACAAAGCTATCTCTCTGATACAGTAATACAAAGAGTATCACTAAGTAAATGTGATAAGGAGGACTAGTTTAAAATTAAAAGGGGTGATCACATTTATTGTGTATATAGCATTTTAAAATGTGAACTATTTTAGCAATTCTTGTTTTCTTTCTTTACTATGTTATTTCTCAATCTTGTTTCAGGAAAGTAAGATAAATGTGTACAATTAGGACTGTTACATGGAAATGTGGGAGGACCTAAAATGTATATTCCAACCGTGCTTGCTCTCGATTCCTTTTCTAGTCTTCTTTTGGTGAAATCAATGAGAAATTATGATATGCCATTATTAGGAACGATTTCAGAGCAAATGGATTTGCAGGGAAACCAGTGGAGTCATCCAGGAGAACTGCCTTTACAGTAACAAACTATAGTTAATGGAGCCATGTGAATCTACAGTCACCTGTGCTGAGTCTGAAGAGTCTCCTCATACGTTTGCTCAAAAGCCTTTTCTCTTGTTAATGACACTATAGTACGTATATTCTCCACAGCTTCGGTTGCTATCTTATAAAACAAGACAATACAATAGAGAAATAAAATTAGTAATGGTTAAACTTCTCCTGGTTGTGCATCTCAGTCATTTACACAGGGGACATATTAAGTACATCAAGTCAGTAAGTTTTTCTAATGAGTTTTCTTAGCTTCCTTTTTTCTTCCCCCAAAATAAGATAGAAAAATAAAATTTCAGGATAAAAAAAAAGGGCTCAAGGAAAATTTCTTTTGAAAAGATTTAGTCCACTGACCTAAATATAGCCTTCCTCAAGTTGTCACTGAATTTCTATTTAAACTGATTCCATAGGTAGAGGGATCAAGCAATGTGCATTATGTTCACATGAATTATGCAAAGGAACTGTCCTATGAATTACGAGATAATTCAAGGAGAAGACAGCAGAGAAAATCAAGTAAATAATTACTTTATTCTAGCACAGAAATGCAAATAGCAACCAAAGGACTCAGGAACATTACAGTCAAGTAACTTGGGATGTGGCTGTAGAATTCTGGATAAACTATAGCTGTTTCTCATTTTTTTTTTTAATTGGGGAATTGGGGGGATGGGAACAGTGCTGGGGAATTGGGGAAAGGGGAACAGACAAGTTGCTGTCGTTTTGTTCTTCAATCTAGTTGTGGAGGATGTTGCTTCACTGGCCCAAGTTGGCACCATCATTGCGCTCTTCTCTGGCGAGGCAGATCAGTCGCCGGCTTCTGGAAGGCCGCTCACTGTGGCTGCTGGCCGCTCACGCTGGCTGCTGGCCACACACGGTAGCCCTTGGCAATCCACTGCCACAGGGACTGCAGCCCACGCCGTCGCTGGTGACTCATGGCAGCCCAGCTCCAGGTTGAGCTGTTGTTCAGCATCTTAGCTGTAGAGGGCAGTGTCACTGGCCCTCATATGTGGGATCCGAACCGGGGCCCTCTGGCATCCCAAGCGAGTTCTTAACCATCGTGCCACTCGGCCGGCCCAGCTGTTTCTCATTTTGAGGTCTATGAACTTAAAAATATATTTAATTCAAATATAATTAATGCTTCTCCATATTTATATAGTTTTTTAAAAAGGAATCATCACATGGAATCCAAAATGGAGGAGACTTTTGGCTTAGAATAACTTCTTGGACATGAGAACATGTCGACTTGAAAGAGAAACTTCCAGCTTTCACATTCTGTTTCCAGACTGGCAGAGTGGATTGTGGGACAGAAGACCTAGCTGGACACTAAGTGTTATTTGCAAAAGAACTTGGGTTACAAAAGAGAACTAGATTTCTGGACTGTGGTCAGGACACCTGGATTCTGCTTTCAATTTTGATGTTGAGTTGTTCTAACTTCTCATTAATTTCAAAATGAACTCAAAGAAACCTCAATTTTTAGCATTCTGAGGTATGTAAGGAAAATGAATAAGAAACGCTGAAACCTTGCGGAGGAAGAAAAAGAATAAATAAAAACATCTGTTATAATTTTTCACAATGGAAAGTGGACTATTATCATGAAAGAATCTTAGAAAATAGTCTCTCTTTTTTTTTATGAATACTGTCATTTTAAGTATGAAACATTTGATGATTTGTCAAAATTTACACATGGAACCAAAGAAGGACCAATGTGTTTGTTTTTTTAAAAAAGATTTTATTGGGGAATTGAGGGAGGGGAACAGCGCTGGGGAATCGGGGGAAGGGGAACAGACAAATTGCTGTCCTTTTGTTCTTCAGTCTAGTTTTGGAGGACGTTGCTTCACTGGCCCAAGTTGGCACCATCATTGCGCTCTTCCTGGGTGAGGCAGATTGGTTGCTGGCTTCTGGATGGCCTTTCACGGCAACTCTTGGCAGCTCACACTGGCTGCTGGCTGCTCACGCTGGCTGCCGGCCACACATGGTAGCTTATGGCAGCCCACTGCAGCAGGGGCTGCAGCCTATGCTGTCGCCGGTGACTCATGGCAGCCCAGCTCCAGGTCGAACTGTTGTTCACCATCTTAGCTGTAGAAGGCAGTGTCACTGGCCCTCATGTGGTATCCGAACCGGGGCCCCGCTGCTTGGAGTTGGTGTCCCAAGCCAGCTCTTAAAAAACGCGCCACTCGGCCGGCCCCCAATGTGTTTTATTGGCCCATATTCTAAGTCCTGGTGTTGGGTAAATTGACTGATTTAAAGCTACTGGGAAAGGACACAGATGGCCTATTTGATATGAGTTACTGATTGTATAGTCTGAGGTTATTCTCATAATATCAAAAGGGAAAATCAAAGGGTACATATGTTGTACAACTAAAGCTCATGATATGAAAATTAAGATGAATAAATATAATTAGTTAGGGTGCCATTAATTTAGAAGTTGTGATAATTTGCACACATGTAGGGCTAAACAACTTTTCACTGTCTCTGAGGCAAATATGTGCTAAGTAATCCAGTCTGTACTGCCCAAGCAGACATTCCAGGGGTCCTTATTTAGTGTAGAAAAGGTGGAAAGGTCCAAGGGTAATGCAAACTGGATTTCAGTGAGTCATGTGCTTGGCATCCCTCTTCATGAATAGTCATGCTGTTTATGTGCCAGCTGTGATACAGTCACAGTGATAAAGACCATAGTAATATTAAAATGATTTTCATATTCAGAGGTGTCCACCAGTGTGATAAAGATCTTTGAAACTGTATCGTGAGAACAGCAGCAGCCTAAAGACTTGGCACTGGATAGCCAAGAGAAGGCTCGGTGTCTACATGATGCAGCTTCCCAAAAGCTGTCAGGGTTTCTAGCAAGATGAAAGCCAAGAAGAGTAGGATAGAAGGCCACGGAAACCAAGCAAAACCACAAAACAAAACAAAACTGTTGGCAACCTGGGTAAGTAACACACTGCCTGCCACTGGAGGCAAACGGTGGATACAAGATGGATGGACACTTGACAGGTTGACAGGATTGTTGTACAAGACAGTCCTAGTTTGGGTGAGTGACGGGATCAAATAACATCTATTTCAGTTCTTAGAGGTTATGATACTACAATAGTAATGGTTCCCTCAATCTCCAATACAATGATTATTTTTATGAATATGAATGATGCTGAGAAGCTTAACTATGTCAAAACATTTTCCAAGTAATTAAATAAATTGTACATTTTGATCAGCATTAAAATGGTCCTTGTCTCTAAAAACTTATTTTAAGTAGTATCAATTAAAAAGAAGTGCACTGCCTTGTATTCAGTAACTATTATATTTCCTCTTCATTTTGAAATATAAAATACCTGGAATTATTCAGGAACATTTAATTATTCAGCAATCAGGGAATGGGGAATCACGATGTTAGAAAAATTGCCCCATGATATGGTAACAGTAATAACGGTTGACATTACTGAGTGCTTACTGCCTTCCAGACACTATTCTAAGTATTTTGCATATAACAATGCTAAGTGTTTTGTGTAATACAAAAATCTGTAAGTGGATACTATTATTATTCCCACTTTACAGAGGGAAAAATTGAAGTCCAGAAATGTTGACAGAACTAGCTCATATCACACGTTTGTTTGTGACAGAATATGGACTCCAATTTTGCCCATTTGACTCCAGAGCCCATGCACTAAATCTTGTACCCTATTGCTATGACACAGCTACACCCCATCCTGAATGACCTGTGTGCATTTCAATACATATCCACCACTTTACAGATTCCTAAGAAAAGAAGTTAACATATTGTAAAGATGGGAGCTCTGATTGTTTTCTCTTAAAATGTTATGATGATACCAAAGAGTCTTTATTTTACCTTTCCAGCACGCTTAAGTTCTTGCTTGTCCTTGTTGGCAAATCCAGTCATTGATGCGGTTTCAATCATTCCTGTCAGAGCAAGTACTGGAGCAATACTCAGAATCAAGAGTGTCATCTCCCATCCATAGATGAAGGAAATGATAACTGACAGTCCCATGTTAGTTGCATTTTGTGTTAAGACACCAATCCTTGAACCTATTGCCTATAAGAAGACATATTTTGGAGAAAAAGTCAGTTCATTTAAAATACATAAGAATTGCTATTATAGTTATTTGCAAAAGAAGGTAGGCTTTGTTTTTTAGGATTTAACTTAGATTTTAACTTTGAATTTATAATTGGAGATTAAATAATACCCATATTTAAAAAATGTTCTGTACAAGGCGTCATTATACTTTATTCATCTACCTTATGTCTGATATTATTGGCTTTTGACATGTCTCTATCATTCTTTAAATATGTCCTTACTTTCTGACACACAATGATTTTCCAGCCCCTACCCCTGGAATCTGTCATTTGTCCAAGGAGTCTTGGTTCCTTTTAGTGGAGAATGTCATTTAGAAGTCAACATATGGTGCTAGTTGTGCACATAACTAGTGGAATGTCAGTGGACAGAACTGGGGAATGAGTGTGTGAGTGTGTGAGAGTGTGAGAGTGCGTGCGCGTGCGCGAGTGTGTGTGTGAGTGTGTGAGTGTGTGAGTGTGTGTAGATTGCACACATTGAACTCTATACTTATTTATTGATTTATACTGCTTGAGTACCTAGCAATACCTCCAATTCCAATCCAACATCACAAGGTTATTTCCAGCTTCCTCTTCCTGCCTTCCAGTATTTGTTTCCCTCCTCAACAGTGAGAAACCTGGCTCTCATTTGCTTTAGCAGATTTATGTGATCAATCTCTCTGTATGCAACCAATCTGCTATCATGGCCCCTGCCTCTCCTCCGCATGGATACCTTCCTACTCCGATCTGGCTCTGCTTTTCCACACCAGGCTGCTGCCACACATGGAGGCCCACTCACCACGCGTGGGCTCCCAAACCCAGCCCTGCCTCTTCCCCCTACACGATGGAAGGCCGACACTCTTAGCCACTGTGCCATAGTAGAGTTGAATTGAATGAGTGAGGATATTCACTAAAGTGTATATTTTGGATATGATATCTGGCATTCTCTTTTCTGCACTTTATAATTTGCTTTCACTAAGATCTAAAGAAGCAATATCAAGATAGAAAAGGAGTTGGAAAAATCATGGTGTAATGTAACAAAACAATAGGAAAAACATTTAAATATGTAGACCTATGTTTATCACTGTTTTACAAGAGCAACATGTCTTATGAATCAACTTTCCATGGTACACGTGATAACTAATAAACAAAATGTTAAATTCCTTTAGTGCTGGGATGAAAAAATGAAACTCTTATTTACCTAGGAACGTAGTTATAATCAACCAAGATATCAAATCACACTTTAAAACATATATTTTGTTCTGATCATGAAAATATAACCATTGGAAAAGGTTTAGGTAATGCTAAAATTTACATCCTTCCAGACATAAATACATACACACATGCAGATTGGGGTTATTGTGTGTATGTAGCTTTCTATCATGTTTTTTATCCTTTTACAATATATTATAAGCTTTTTCCTGGGCCACTAAATAGTCTTCAAAAAGTGTTTAGATTAGGGCCAGCTGAGTGGCTCAGTTGGTTAAGAGCTCGCTCAAGAGTTTGAGCTCTGAGCAACAGCAGTTCAAGTCCAGCCTGAGCTGAGCAGCCGCTGAGCTGCCAACAGGTAGCAGGATGGCTCAGCTTAAAAAAAAAAAAAAGTGTTTAGATTGCTTCCTATGTTTTACTATTAAAAATAAAGATGTAATGAGCATCTTTGTGCTTATATTTTATTTCCTAATGTTAAATTCCTAGACTGGAGCTATATGTTAAATGGTATATACTCTTACATTCTTGATAGATATTGCCAAATTGATTCTCTAAAAGGTTATATCAATTTTCACTAAAGCACCCCCAAATTAGTATTGTCATTAAAGTAACAACAATAAAAAGCCCTCTATACCCCCACGGCTCTGCCTTATTTCTAAAAATCTTTTATGGCTTCAGTTTCAAGACTGCATTTGGCAATGATACACTATTTCTCTATTTCTCAATAAGTTATAAAAGAAAACTCCAAAAAAGGAAAACAAATAACAGCAAACATCAAACCACCCACTAAATACTGAAAACTAAGACAGATAGCCTATTTTAAGGGTCTTAGGGTATTATACAATAACTCTAAGACCTATGGAGCTGATATAGGAATGCTGTTTTGTACTTAATACTGACTTACACTCTGTCTCTTGAGAGTTTAAGGATGATGAGGAGATAAATGTTTTTATGTATAAAATCATGGAGTGTGTTAGAGAAACAGGTGGAGATAACTAACCGAGTCACACTAGATGAACATTAGTCACTTAAAATGAGTTTAAGAACTACGCATATTAACCTCATTTCTCCAAACATTTAAGTGGAAACTTGCCAATTTATTTCTTAATCTAACCTAACATTTATTGAGAACATAGGAAACCAGTTGGCATAGAGGCCTATTTCAATTCATCAAACTTCAGCTGAGGATGGGGAACAGGGGGCCTGCAAGCCTTGAAGTCACCCTCCCAGGGAGGAACCAGCTCTGGGAGAGAGAGGCTGTCCGACTTCGGGGGCCTGGCCGGGGTTTCTAGACAAGGAATGTGTGAGGGTTAGTGGGAGAGAAGATAGCAGCGCCCCCAGGTATGGGCTGTACGCAGCATAACTTGCCAAATTTTTGATGAGACAGTCTTGTATTTGAGCATTTTGCTTGGGACCTAAGAATTTTCTATGAAGTGACTTGCACTTGTGTATCCTTGCTCACACAACAAGCTTGGGTCACCCACTTGTGCACTAATGGGCTGTTCGAAAATAGGTTATATACATTTCTATAGGGTATTTTAGTTCAAACTACCAGAAGCATATTGAAATATTCAGTCAGTGCAGCCAAGAATAGGCACAAACCCTGCCTTGTGGTGATGGTAGGGTAAGAAAAATCTGAATATATTTTTCCTGTTCCAGGAAGAAGTAACAGAAACTATCAGACATCTGGCCTTGAAATATAGTACAAGAACTAAAGGGAAATGGAAAATGGTCTTAAGGACCTAGAGGAATACTGTACCTCTGGAAAGAATTTAGAGCTGGAGCCAATTTAATGAAACTTCCTTAGATTCTTTAGCAACCTGCACAAAGACAGTATTTTTTTCCTTAGAAATCAAGAGCAGAAAAATCATTATTAAATAATTTTTTAGATAGCAATTATTTATGGAGTATCTACTATATCTCAGTCACTACAGAAATGTGGGGAATACAACTTTTATAAGAAAATTACAATATTCAAAGAAGACTGGCTAAGAAAATAAATGGAAGAAAACGCAGCATTAAATTGTAGAAATAAAACTCCAAATGGTAGGATTTCTGCTTCTGGCTAACATGGAGTAATGGAATGGATTTATCCTCCCACCTAAAACAAACAAAAACAGAAAAAAATACAGGAATCAATGGTTTTCAAGATACTGGACCTAAGGCAACCAAGGGCAGAGGTGGGAAACAAACAAGGTGAGCACAGTGACTGCCCCAGCCTATTCTTCGAAAGAGCATCCAGGCTGCTGAGTAGGAAGGGTGAACTGAGACAGAGCCCAACAGATGCTCTGAGTAGATGGAGCTGAGATCTGGAGAGTCCAAGGAAGCTAGAATTTGCAGCGCAGAATACCAGAGAGAGGTATACAGAAAGAGAAATCTGGGTATCTGCAGAGCGTCCTTCTTCAGTATTCAGCTGAACATTGTATGTGTGAGGGCTTAGGAATAGTGCCTGGTCATAAAAGCCAAACTGGAAAACCTCAGACTCACAGAGCATTGGGTAGGGTATGCAGAAGAATCTTAACTCAGTAGTAGGCTCCAGTCCTGCCTAATAAACCTTAATTTAAAATCAAGACTCTCAAAAGGATCCAACTGTTCCCAGGTAACCTAAGTGCATCCCAGAACAAAACAAAGTTTATAGAAATACAAAAATATCCAGCGTTCAATAATGGTAAATTTATAATGTATGGTGTTCAGTAAAAAATTACGAGGTATGCAAAAAAGGCAGCAAAATGGCACCCAAAATGAGCATAAAAATCAACCAGTTGTAACTGATCCAGAACTGACACAAGCATTAGACTCAGTAGACAATGACAATAAAAGTTATTATCATTGCATAACGTATACAAAAGAAGTTAAGAAATAATGAGGATATCAAAAAGACCCACATCAAATTCTACAAATGCAAATTTCAGTGTCCAGGGATAAAGTTTTTTTTTTTTTTTT